GAGGGGACAGAAGTCCACAGAACTGGGCAAAGGAGACGGACTGATGTGAACAGCAGGTGCAGAGGCGGGCACTCAGATCCGCCCGGAGACCGATCCCACACCATGGTGGAGAATTCGGCTGCTATTACTTTTAAGATAGTGACTTAAGCAAGTTTCCAAGGACGCTTTAACATTTGGGTGGTTAGGTGTACAAACAAGCAAAGATTTCTGGGTGCTTTTTGTCCCAACATTTTATTATAAAAAACATAGTTAGGTGCCCTTTTAAGGATATCCAAATATATTCCTTTTGCTCCTTTCTAGAAGTAACTACTGTATGCATTTTATTTTTTTATGCCTCCATCTCACATATAATTTATGCCCCATTCTGCCCCTATGTGCAGAAAGGGTTGAGGCCTCTGGGAATTTCCAGCCTTCAAGGGCACCTGCCCTCAGAACACAGAGCTCTCTGTCCCCTTGTAACGGGCTGTGTGTAACGGGAGGACACCATGCTCCTCCCCACTCTGCACTGCCATCTGTGGGTACTCCAGCCTCAACTCCAGAGAAAGAACTTCAGAGTATTCAATGGAGCCCAGGAAGCAGCCGAGCAGAGGCCAGCAGGGTGGCTTGAATCCCAGCTCCAAGACTAGGCTGTGACAGCTGGACTGTATGAGTTCCCTGAAGCTGCTATAACGTTATCTCATACTTAGTGACCCCAAACAATACTAACTTGCTACCTTACCATTCCAGAGGTCAGAACTTGAAAGGGGACATCCTGGGCTAAAATCAAGATGTGGGCAGGGGTGGTTCCCTCTAGGGGCTCCAGGAGAGAATCCGTTCCTTGCCATTTCCAGGTTCTAGAGGCACCTGCATTCCCTGGTTCATGGCCCCTCCTCCACCTTCCATCTGTCTCTGACTCTGACTCTCCTGCCTCTCTCTCATAAGGACCCCTGCGGTTACACTGGGTCCACCTAGATAATCCAAAATCATCTCCCATCTCAAAATCCTTAAGCCACCTGCCAAGTCCCTTTGCCTTGTTGAGGGGATGAGCACACGGACATCTCTGAGGGCCACTGTTCCACCCACAGCATCTTCAAAATGGAAACGTCTATCTCGCGATGCCTGCCATGGTGGTTAAAGGAGAAAACACACATTTGGCATCCAGCACTCAGTAGGTACTCCACGAACGCTGGCAAATTGGACAGAAGCATCTAAAGCGCTCACGGCAGGTGATCCTGGCTCCTGTCTCTGCCTGGCATTATGTCACCTTATTTTTGGCTGGTGGTCCATCTCCCCCTGGAAACATCAGCCCCACCCACACGGGGACTGTTCTGTTCACTGTTGCAACCCCTGTGCCTGAGAAGAGCACAGCACACAGTAGGTGCTCAACACTTGCTGAACAAACGAATGTTCATTTTTTCATAATGACAAAGCAGCGCAGGCCTCCAGGTGGAGACGCTGCCAGGCGCGGTGCCCTCTCCCAGGGCTTCACAGGGAGGTTTACCTCTGTGACAGCGGGCGGGTGTTGATTTCACCCTGACACCCGGACGTGCGGATCAGGGGCTGGGGATGGTTAAAGGATTCTGCTGGCCTCACGGCAAGTTCAAGACAGACAAGGTCCTGCTTGGCGGGCCATCTGGAAATGGTACCTGCAGAAATGTGAGTTTTTGCAGTGATGGAGTTACAGGAACGGAAGTGAAAACATGGAAAAGAGCGTTTGAGTGACTACACATTGAAGAGGTGGTCTTCAGCAGCATGCCCACAGGGGGAGGGCAGCCTTTGTGATCCTATTGTCCACCGCCCCAGAGAATGGACAGTGCAGAGTCCAGGAAGGAATGCCCCTCTGGGGCACTCCGAAGTGGGGGTCTCACTGCACTGCACGGGGAAGTCTGGCGCCAGACCGTCTCCAGGCTTTAACTGGGATGTCTCTGAGCAGCACGGATGCGGAAATTGCTTCACAGACACATCCTGAGACCGACCCCCCCTGCCCCCCACCCCCGCAGCCCCACCAGGTTCCCCGAAGCCCCAGAGAATGAAGCCTGCAGGCCAGCCGCTCTGACACGGGATGACCGGATGGTGGCAGGTCCCAGGGCAGCCCCTCCGGGCAGTGTTCTGAAGAGGGAATTTAAGCCCCAGGAAAAGGGTGGTTTCTCCATGGCTCTGTCAAAAGAACAGGCTTGGGTTCCATCCCAGCTCTGCCACCTCCTGGCCTTGTGACTTCAGGCAAGTCCACACAACATGAACGTGAACGATTCACAATTCTCACATGTGAGATGTTGGAGGTGGGGGTCATGGGACCTAGTTCCAAGGACCAAATGGCCTCACGTAAACAAAGTGCTGGCCCCACGGTGTTGCTCAGAAACCTGGGTCCGTACCCCGTCGCAGAGGGTGGCGGCCAGCTCCTGGGAGCAGGAGCCTTTGCCTCCAGCGGGCTAAGCTCTGCAAATCCCTTCCTGTACCCAACACCTGGTCCTGGGCCCGGCAGGCAGCAGCCTGTTTATCAACAGGAAAGGAGGGGGCGAGCAGCCAGGGATCCTCGGGACCACAGGGGGCAAATGTATTCTGATGTTTACGGCTCCATGGAAACCGTCCAAAGCAGCAGTCTCTAGCACCGAGGGGCCACCACCAGCTAGGTCTGCTGGGAAGAGGGGACGGCCCTTCCACTGTCTCTTTTCTCCTCCATGCTGTGCCTCAAAGTGTCCCCAAAACCATCTTCCCAGAGTTCAGACCTTCCAGGGGCCCTGGCTTCAGAGCCCAGAGGGGCTCCAGCTGCCTGCAGGACAGAGACCCACTCCAGCCCGGACTTTGGACCTTAAACTCTGTCCTCAGGAATCTCTTGGGATCCTGGGTGATGCCTGAGGCTCCAGTGGGCGTCCTGACCTCCAAACCCAATCCCTCCCCTTGTGACTAAAAAGGGGGAAACCCCACATCCCCCAGAAGCCTTCGTGGCCCCATCTCCCCCCAAGGCTGAAGCTCCCCCCTCTCTGGGCTCCCACAGCTTCCTGTGTCTGAAGGAAAGAGGGCACTTCTGACTGAATCGGGGCCCACTCACATCTGATCTGTGTGATTTTCCTGAGGGTGAGACATAGATTTGACTCAGGCTGTGGAATTACAGCGTCCGCTCAGCATCTCGGTGAAGTAAATATTTGTTTCAGGGCAGCAGAGAATCCATTCAAAGCTCATTAGTTAAGTTAAATAAGGGCTGTTTTAGACAGTACGTCACACATGTTAGCCAACCTTTTCTGGGTGGGTGGCTGCGAGGAATTAAACCCGTGATGCAGGGAGAAAGGCAGGACCGAGTGTCCTGGGGTGTGTGGTGGCGGGGAAGGCAGTGTAGACAGAATGTCAGGACACCAGGCCCCCGGTTGGGATTAAGCCACTCGGATCACCTCTGATCAGCAAAACATGGTTATCTCCACCAAGGGTGAGGTTCGAAGAAGCTGGCGAGGCCGTGCCTCTGGTGAGGCCTGTATGGAGGTTCTTAACTGGTTCCAAAGTTCCATGAAAGTTTAACTTTTTTAAAATTCGCAAATGTCTACTGAGCACTTACTGGTGCCTGGCACAATTCTGACCACCTGGCAATGAAATTAACCACTTTACTCCTAAAACCACAACAGGGCAGGCCCTGTCGTAGCCCCACTTACAGAAGAGGCAGCTGAGGTCTGGAAAGCGTGAATCTACCCGAGGTCACCAGCTGGGGAGACCTCGAGGAGGGATTCAGACCAGCCAGTTGGCCTCCTGTCATCTGCTGTGTATGTTGCACCCGAGGTGACAAATAACCCTCTTTTCACTGTGGAGTTTCATACCACATTTAGCTTTTGAAAAAGGGCTTCGGTGCTAAGTAGTTATGAAACCGCTGATCTCGTCCAGACTTACCATTTTACAGATTGGGACACTGGGGCCCAGGGACAGGTGCTGAATGACCAGCCTGGGGCAATCCTCATGAGACCGCACTGCCCTCTGCTCCAAGGGGGTGGCCCTGCTGGGGTGCCAAGTCACAGCATGGCCCAGGGGACAGGGGATGGGCAGATCTCCATCTAATCCTGGCTCTGCTGTTCACACCCGGTGTGACCTCCTCCCGAACCTGTTTTCTGTGGATCAGGGTTGACAGTACCTCCCTCCTGCGGGGTGAGGAGCAAATGAGATCATCTGTGTTCACTCAGAAAGCCGGCGGCCTCCCTGTCCTCGGGACAAACAGTGTGCAGTTCTGGGAGGTGAAGCTGAACTGTGAACACATCTCAGGGCCTCCCACAGTCTCCAGATGGTGGGGGGGGCTGAACTTTAACCTCCTCTCATTATGGGGAAGAAACCCAGGAGCAAACACACTGCCCAGAGGGGTGCTGCCCTCCTGAGCACTTCTCAACACAAAAGGCGTGGTGGGAAGGGGCTTCCAGGCAGAAGGATAAAACAGGAAGAGTTAATGGCGCGGGGAGGCAGCTGCACCTAAGAGTCCTCGTGAGAGGGAGGCAGCCACATCCCAAACCATCAGCTCAAGGTCTCCAAACCCTGCAAAGAATACGTGAATGACTCCAGGTTTCCTGACCCCAGCAAAGCAGTGGACCCACACGGGGCAGGGGCACTAGGGAGCCGAAGGCGCGAGGGGCCCAGACAGCTGCACGCCCCACCGAAGGGCACTAAGTTTGCTGCAGGACCCCAAGCTGCTCGTCCCTCTGGACGGCTGATGTCGTCCGTCACAGGATGCGGTTTCACAAACGCACTGCTGTACAGGGTGGCTGCTACCCAACCACGAATAACCATGGACGTGCCCTTTCTGCAGTGCTTTGAGTTTTGCAAATAATCATCACCGTGCATGCTACACAGCTTGTAAGACATGAGGGGCCAGCTGGGTGGTGGCGCGGCCACCGTAGGGGCCCTGGCCTCGCGGCGCCGGGCTGTTCACCGAGAAGGTCAGCTCCGCTCCTGTGGCTCAAACTGCAATTGTACTTAATTCAGACACCTGTTGATTCTCAGGCACAACCAGAAAAGACTTCTTCTAAATAAAGAGAAAAGAAAAGGACAGTGGATTCCGGCAAAGGTTTTTATTTCAGCTGCTTTAGGACCTTGACTTTCTGTTCCCTCCTCCTGAACACGGCCAAACTTTGCTGAGAACTGGGAAGGGACCCCCAGGTGCCTTCAGGTGATACCCTCACAAGCTCACCCGCCACCCACCAGATGGGGAGCCGGGAGGCAGGCAGGCTATGGGACGCAGAGCTCACGGCTTCTGCCAGCCTCCAGTATCGGGCTCAGGCGGGGCCCTGGCGGGGCCCTGGCCACAGGACAGAGCAGGGCAGCTCTGCACGGCCCCGGGACCGGCAAACAGCTGTCAAGGCTTAGCAGCGACCAAATAAATAAGAAATGTTACGGTGGAGTTTACACAGCAGCACTATTGGTTCTTTAAAAAAACAAACCCAAACAGAAGTAAATGAGGGGCCACGGCGTGCATGGAGGTGGAAGGGGAGACGTCGGCTGTAAAGCGCTTTTCGGGCACAGGAACCTGGTCCAGCTTGGCACCCCAGCGGCGCACCGGAGGTCAGGACTGTGGGTCGAGGCTGTGCATGCAACTTCCAACCACGCGGCGCAGGGTGGACAGAGCTGAAGTGGTCAGCCCGTTTACGGAGGCGTGAGCAGACTACACACGAAAGGTCCCCACAGCCCTGCGTTTGCACGCGCGCGCACACAGTGGTCAGTGTTGCAGGCAGGCCACACGAGGGGGTCCCGGCGGCCACATGCACCGACGCGCCTGCAGCGGGACGCGGCCTCATGCCGCCGACAGGAAGGGGAAGAAGAAGAAGTCGAAGGCGAACTTGAGGGCGCCGTGCACCGTGCTGCGCCAGTCCTGCTCCACCTTGACATGCCGCCGGGCTGGCGACAGCTGCGCCATGCAGTTGAGGCAGCTGATGGCCTTGAGCTCGAAGACCGGCCACTTGCTGCCCAGGCGGCCCTCCAGGACGGTGCTGAACTCGACGAGGCTGCCCTGGCGCAGGCTGAGGAGCACGTCCTTGAACTCGCTGCTGGCCCGCAGCACGATGTCCTTGGTGACGTCGTCCTCCTCGGGGCTGCGGGTGCCGTTGGCGCTGCGGTAGGGCATGCCCACCGTGATCTCGAACTTGTACCGGTCGAACTTCTTGATGTGGCAGGGGTGCTTGGCCAGGAGCTTGAGGCGGCAGAGCTCCTCCTCAGCCGTGGAGGCGCCGCTGGGGCTGCAGGCGGGGTAGGCCTCGCCGTAGAGGCAGCGCATCCAGTCGCCCACGAAGAACGGGAGCATGTTGATGGCCGACTCGGCGCTGTTGTCGATCTCCGTCACGCGGACGTACTTGAAGCGGCCGGTCCACGTGACCCTGTGGCCCTCCAGGTGGCTGCACAGGATCTGGGTGCGGGCCATGTTGGTCTCCTTCCAGGCCCGCGGCCCGCACAGGAAGCCGTACTGCTGCCAGGTCAGCGTGGAGTTGTAGACCTTCATGCCCTCCGAGCGGTACACGTAGAACCAGCAGAAGAGCACGATGGCCGTGATCCACACCAGGATGAGCTTGACGATGGAGCTCCGCGTCAGGGACTTGACCGTCGCCACCACAGGAGAAGTTGGCCCTGGTCCACCAGCGGAACAGCAGGGGGACGCTGCAGACCGCCATGGCCACCGCAATCTTGGTGAGCTCCAGGGACACAAACCAGCGGGCGAACTGCACCACGCCCATCAGCGCCAGGCCAGCCACCAGCACGGGGAGAGCGAAGAGGAAGAGGAAGTAGCCGACGGACGCGCGCACCAGCCCCAGGCCGGTGGACTCGAGCAGGATGACCACGGAGAGCTCGCACCACATGAAGCAGACCAGGTAGGGGACCAGGTAGCAGTAGGTGCCCTTGAAGCCGCGCAGCTGGGCCATGCGGAAGAACAGGTAGAGCAGGTAGACGTACAGCAGGCAAGGGACGCTGATGTTCAGGATGACGAAGTGGCCGATGGGCACGGTGACCAGGGTCTGGCCCAGGAGCTTCAGGTAGTGCCAGTCGACGGGCAAGGAGGGCAGGAGGGAGAGCAGGCCGGCTGCCACCTCGGTCACCAGAGCCCTCCGGGTGTAGGGCTCGGCGGAGGTGCTCAGGCTCATGTAGCTGGTGACGGTGAAGAAGACAGACACAACGGCCAGCTCCGAGCAGGGCACGCAGTCTTTGCTGGCGACAGGGAAGGAGAAGATGACGAAGAAGACAGACAGCAGGAAGTGCACGTAGGGCTCCAGGTGGTTCCAGCCGAAGTTTACCTCGGCCTGCTCCACGTCCAGGTTGGGCTCGAAGCGCAGCAGCAGGCTAGTGAGGGCACGGAAGCTCTCCCAGGCCTTGCTGTCCTGGAAAACCTTGAGGGTACAGATGACCATGGAGATGAAGGACAGGTAGAAGATGACCAGCGGCACGAAGAAGGCAAAGAAGTCGATGGTCAGGTTGCTGATGATGAAGAAGAAGATGAGGGCGTTGATGTGGTGGGTGGGCACGATGGTGGACAGCCAGTGCATGCCTGCCCGGGACGCCACGTCGATCAGGTACTCCTTGAGCTCCATGATGGCGTGCAAGGGGTACTTGACCACCTAGAGGAGGGGGGAGATGAAGGCAGGGTGTTGGAACCCGGCCAGGGTGGGAGCCCCACCCCTGTCCTGTCACAGCCCCGTCAACCTCCCCAGCTCTGGGCCAGGTGAACAACTCACCTGCAGTTTTCCCAGCCCTTGACCCTCCCAGTCCTTCCACCTGCAACGCCCTCTCTGGGTAGTACAGTTCCACGTGGTCCGCAGGAACCCTCCCTCAAGTCCATCCTCCCAGTCCTGTAGGTCCCCCACCCCGCCTTCCGCCAGTGCCTGACTCCTGACCTTCTGCTGGGGTTTCCAGACTCCTCTGTGAGATCTTGGGGCCCACCTGGCCCCCTCTACCCTCCCCCTCACACTTGCAGAGAGGACAGAGCTCTGGGCTGCTTGTGTCTCGGCCACTCCTGCAGTGAGGACTTCACCTCCCCAGCCTCGGCCACCCACCCCTCAAGGGGGAGAGGAACCACTTCTTTACAAGCCTGCCCTGGGCTCTGACCATCCTGGGAGCAGCAGTGGGAGTGGGGACTCCAGAAAAGAGAGTTCGGCGCCATTGTGAATGGAAATGGTTCGGCTGTGATGTTTTCACTGTGGCAGGGGGTTGAGAGTAGCCACCCACATCACCCACCCTGCACACCCGAGACTGTTCAGAATGGACACACAGTGCACACAGCCACATTCAAAGGCAGCCCCAGTCCGTGCCTTGGGTCCCACTCCCTGAATAGGCACCCAATGCAAAGGGCAGCAGAAACCCTCGGCCTTTTCCACAACAGAAGAAGGAGGGGCCATGGGGGAGGTGAGTCAGGGAGCAGCCTTGGGCAGGAAAGGGGGTGGTTCTGCCATCTAGGGTGGTCCGTACACCTGGCTGGTTCTCTGAGCAGACTCCCCTGAGGTTTCAGCCCCACCAGGGCTGAGGGGAGACAGGAGAGACACTGGAGGGGGCAGAAAGAGAAAGTGCCATGGACAGTCCTCACGAGGCTCAGCATGGAGGAGGGCAGGGGTCCAGAGAGGCAGGGCCTGGACCAGACCACACCAAGGAGTAGGTCCTCGAAGAGACCACCGACTCACGGGGGCAGGGAAGCCTGGCTGCACGCCCAGAGCCCACCCCTGGGGCTACGTGATGGAATGCCCACCAGCGCCCAGGTCAGCTGGGCAGCACTGCCTCCGTCCGCGCCCTGGGCACAGGCTCCCTCTCTCTCTGCCCAGCCCACCCGAGGGCCGAGGAGGAGCAGGGATCCCGGGTGAGCACAACCGAGGGACATCCGCCTAAGAGCCTCGGCTGGCATCTCCAGGTGACCAGAACACCCAGGAGCAACAGGGAGAGTGAGGTCTCCACAGGTGAGAGGGATCCAGGCTCACAGAGGTAACGGAAATGTTTAAAAATGTGCACACACGCGCGCACGTCCACAGCCACGTCTGTATGAAGCACCGCATTCCTCCTTATGTGTCTGTGACGGTCCACTTACCCTCCATTTTAGAACAAGGAAGAAAATGAACAAATGAGTAAACCGGCTAACGGCTCCCCCAGCTCGCTGGGGCCAGCTTTCCCAGGAGCCCACTCGGTGCTCACCCCGTCTGGAATGTCAGTCACCGTCAAGGGAGCCATGGTGGGGATTTCTGACACTTGCCAGAGAGCAAACCAGCATCTGCGGAAAGACCCTGCTTCAGGCTGCCTCCGGGAGGGGCCCTTGGGCACAAAGCAGACACCCAGCCAGAAAGCAAAAGAGCCCGCCTGGGCGTCAGGCTCGGCCTGCTCGGCTAGTCCCTGTGGAGGGGCCCTCGCTAACTGGAAAAAGGTTCAAAGGAGAAATGCTAGTCTCACCATCACTCTCTCCGGGCACAGCCGGCGCCGGCGGCTTCGGGGGAGCTGGCCTGCGGGTGCCCAATAGCTAGCACCTCGAAATGGATCTGAAATCCTGTCCTAATCCTCAAAACCATTCACACTATTCTTCCCCCTACAGAGCCACACAATCACATGGTTGCAAGGACCTTTAAAAGATTAACGAAGCTTCTAGAACCTGATGTCCATGGTGCCGGCCTCTGCTCCACAGTGAGGTGCCTGGGCCACTATGACCAGGGACTTCTCTCCTTTTAAGGTCCCAACTCTGTCCCCTGTAGCTTCTACCCAGGTCCACCTTCTTGGGGCCCACCAAATTGTGAGACTAAAAACCTTTTCTGTAGAGAAAGTCCAAACAAATTCATATGAACTCTTCTTTGAGTAGGATAGAAATTCTTTAAAAAAAATGAGTAGGGAGGCAGCTCAGGAGTGGCCAGTACAGGGTACCCTGGCCAGGACTGAGGTCACCAGGCACTCCGCTGATGTGAGAAACCTTGAAAACAGCCTGTCACACCTGAGCCACTGACCAAAGAGCCCGCCGCCAACTGGGCAGGTCGAGGGAATTTAATCTCAACTAGACTCAGCTCAGAGCTGAGCGAATGCTCATGTGCTGGACTTTCAATGATTTAATGTAAAAACTGTTACAATTTTAAAATATTCCTGAATTTATCCGAGTGCTTCAGTTGACCTGAAAGGCTCGAGGAGGGGCGGCCCGGAGCCTGGAACGGCCTGTGGGCCGCGTGAGCTCAGAGGGGCGTCTGGCGCTTCCTCTTCCAACCAGGGGGCCTCCCCAGGCATGTCCCTTTCTCAGTCCTCTGGGGCAATTACAGGCCAGAACAGCTTTTCATTTCAGGAGGCACCTATGATTCATCCTCTTTCGCAAAAGGCGAAATGGGACAAATTGTAAAGGAATTAAAATGCTCCGACAGACTCAAAAACGGAAAAGAAAGAGCCCTGTTTATTTCTTGTCGGAACACTTTAAATCTTTTTCCCAAAACAGACGCTGGGTATCTTACAGCATGGAGCTGTCACCAGTAAGCAGAGTGACACAACTTGCTGTCCGAAGCCGGATGCTTTTGAAAGCAAGTGTCGTTAGTAATGACGCAGGGACAATGCCCACGAGGACGCCCAGGCGGGGACCACCTGCCCAGGGGTCTTCTCCCGCTTACCCGTTCACCTGCGACCCTGACTGGCAACTGGGGAGCAGCTCCTCTCCGGCAGGAACCACAGCAAGCGCTCCACCTTGCCCTCCTCTCCGTTAATCTGCAAACTAGTGACACAAGCACACTGAGCCCAGGCCCGCCTCCGCGCGGACCTTCAGTAAGAGCCACGGCTCCCCTGGTCGAGCTCCCCGGCCACCCTGACCCTGCACCTCAGACCCTTCACCCTGGACACGTAACCTGCCCTCAGGGGCTCTCACCCAGCTCACTGATCCTGCACGTGGCCTCCACACCCAGGGCTGTGGAATCTCCGCGGCACTGGCTTCCGAGTCTGCTCCCCCATACCCGGGACGTGGACGGAGCCTCCACACCCAGGCCCCAGCCTGGTGCTTACAGAGCTGCCTCTGGATGGGACTTGTCAGCCCACTTCCCGTCGCCACGCCGACCCTGACCTACCCCCGCAGCCCACTGCCATGCCCACAGCACTTCACACACGTTGCTGGCAAGCTGAGCATCACAGAACCCGACGGCTTCCTGGGTGACTAACGGCAGGGGCTCCGTGACGCTTCACCTGCTCAGAGGCCCTTGTGCCGGCAGGGGCTCTCTTGGCCACCCGTGGCGATGGACCCGTCTAGGGTTGGTAGCCAGATTTCTGTTAAGTCCTCATGTCCTCTGCAAAGCGAGATATGGACACAGCTAATTCAACCCCATGAGCTGAACTGGGGGAAATCCAGTGAGTGGGCAGGATGGCCACATTGTATGCCTGTACATGTCACAACCTCACAAGAAGGAAAACAAAAGCTGTCACGCCAGGGGCACGAGCTGCCACTCCTGGCTGTCAGCACGTGTCTGGACACCTCTCATAGTCCGCTGCTGCTCACGGGCCCACGCTGGTGGCAAATGCGCCCCCTTCCGCCAGGTCGGCCCACAGTCACCTCCCCGCCACTGTCTCCACACCACACCCGTCTCGCTCCCCGAGCTCCTGCAGACCTGGACAGGCACCACTGCAGGAGCCTCCTCAACACAAGAACTCTGCTTTTGGGAAAAGGCATCTTTGAGAAAATGACCTCCATTCTGTGCCGCAAACAGGTAATTTTTCAAAATGACAAAGGCTAAGTGAAGTTGGCCTCCAGTGCCCGGCACCCTGCTCCCCCGATGGCGTTTTGCAGCCAAAGACAAGAGGGTGCCCTGCTCGTCGGTCACCACTGAGCCCGCCTCCAACAGCGCCCTTGGTGTCAGAGCCTGAGTGTGTGTAAAAGGTCCCCCTTCAGGAGGACACGCCCTGACGCAGTTACAGGGACCGTCTTCGCAGGACAGGCCTCCCAGGGAAAGCTACACAGTCCCAGAGGCTCGGGTGCTGGGCAAGTCCCCACCCGCAGCTTCCCGGGAAGCGCCAGGGCGCAGAGGGGGCAGGTGGGTGCGGCGCCGCGGGCCGCTCACCTTCAGGCGGAGGGGCAGGTCCTCCGGGCTCTTGCCCGCCAGCTCGTCATCGTCATCGTCGTCCTGCAGGAACAGGTCGGTGGGGATGATGCCCCTGGCGTACTTCTTGGTGATCTCCACGAAGTCATCCAGCGCTATGTGGCTCTTGGCTAAAGCACCAAAGAGAACAGCACAGGGTCTGGGAAGCCGTGAGCACACCATCAGCCCGCGAGGACGCGCAAGGCGGCGCCAGCGGCTGGGGCCAGACTTGGCCTCGGAGAGGAGGGAGCTCAGTGCGAGCTCGAGAGAGCAAAGCCCTCTCTGGGCCTGGACGGCTGTGGGGAGAGGCAGACAGGCTGCCGAGTCGCCTCCTCACCTTGATGATGTGGCACCCCTCCCCTGACGCGTCCGCCCGCCCCCCGGCTCTTCAAGCCTAGGGTCTGCCTGAGCCTGGCTCCAATGTGGCCCCTTCAGCCACCTTCGCCGCCAGCGCCCCTCTGACACCCTCTCCCCTCGGCCCTGGCTCCCCCACAGTGCTGGTGACACAGCCCAGCCACCTACTAACCCCTCCAGTCAACATCTATCCTCCGAGGGCACATGCCTAAGCGCCAGGAAGTGCTTGGGATGGGTGAACAAATTCAGTGGGTGCCCAAGTCTGGCCCCCAGTCTGGGGTGGGGGTCGCATCAAACAAGGCTGGATGCTTGGCCAGAGAGCGGCCATGTCGAAGCCGCTCCCAGGCCGGCAGCGGGGTGCCCGGGAGGTGCGGTAAGCAATCAACACCACGATCACAGGTCTGGCCCTGCCACGCTTGCTCTATTTTCGAGGCCTCCGGGGGGGGTTTTCTTTGGGGGGGTGGGGGCTGTGTTTCAGGTGTTTCAGGACACGACTAGCTGACTATGGACGACAGCAAGCAAACCATGGCAACAGCACCACTGTCGAGCTCGGCGAGCACTGGGGGAGGGGCAGGGCGTGGAAGAGGGGGGTCGGAAGAGGAGTCAAGGACACACCCGGGATGCAGTGGCCACTGTGGGCCCAGGCCTAGGCCTGGGCTTGGCAGGCGGGGGCAGATACAGTGCCCAGGGTGGCGGGGGTGACAGCATGGCCAGAGGCGCTGCAGGTGCGGGCTGGCAGCCATACTCACATTCACTGCTGACCAGGCGCTCCAGCACCCGCCGCTGCTTCTGTACCGACTTGGGGACAGGGCCAGGCTGCATCCCTCCATCTGCAGGGGAAAGAATGGATCAAGAATCAAGGCAGACTGACTTCCCCCATTCCCTGCAGCCCCTCAGAAACTGGCCCACAGCCCCTGGGTCACCCCTGAGCTCCGGGGATGGCTGGGCGTGGGGCCTCCATGCAGGCCTCGGGGTCAGCGCAAGGTCTCCACCTCCAAGGGTGACTCAGGCCCCGCAGGGCACGGCCCAACCCTGCTATGAACACAACCTGAGCACTGGACTCACTGAGCTCCCTGGTCAGTGTAACCTGTCCCCACACACCTTTGCTGGCATTGTCCCTTGGCGTGGTTTTCCCCTGGAACAGACATAGCTCCCCAGGGCCAAGGGTCAGGCCCTCCCCAGTGTCCCCAGCCCTGGTGCACGAGTCGGTCCAGTGGGTAAACACTGAGCCAGGACTGAAGCATTCTGCCCTCCTGTCAACCCACCCCCACCCCCAATGGGGGAGGCATTCACCAGGCTCTTCCTACACTAGTCACCAAGGCAGGAGCTGGATCAGAGGGCAGACGGTGACAATAGAGGGGAGGGGTGCAGTGACTGAGAGCTGCCACAGAAGCCCAGCCCAGCAGCCCATCGAGGGGCGGGGGCAGCAGGAGGGGGCGGGGCTCCACATGGGGCCCCTGGAACTGCCATGTCAAGCATGCCTCGCAGGGGCACTGTCCTCTAAGCCCCAGGCGCCACGGCCACCTCTGCTCATCCCCAGAGGGGCAGGTCAGACAAGAGTCCTGCCCTGAGATCCCCAGAAGGGGGCAGAGGGGCCCACCCTGCAGTCTTCTCTGATGTGCCGGCGTGGCCCAGCCCCACCACATCCACCCCTGCGGGCAGGAGAGGGCGGGGCGGAGCCCTGGGCAGTCACTCTCTGAACAGCCAGGGGCAGGTGCTCCGCAAGGTGATGAAAAGGCAAAAGTCAGTGGGGCTGGGAAAAGGAGAGGCCACACCCAGTCAGGGACGCCCCCTCTTCTGCCCCATCTGTCAGGCTAGAAGGAGGCGGGAGGGCGGTAGCAGGGGGAAGACTGTGGAGGCGGGAGATGAGGCCTGCCTTGGGGAGGCTCTAGGGGATTCGGGGACCCAGGTCTCAGCCGCACCGCTCACTCTCCCCAACTCTATCCCCTCAGGAGGAGCAGGAAACCTTTGGACGGAAGGCCTGTGGGCAGGAGGGGAAGAAACCCCACAGGGTAGAGCAAATCAAGGTAGAACCAAAGCAGGAGGGGCCACTAGGCACCCAGACCGAGGACTGAGCCGGCACTCAGGGCACGGCTCAGGGAGGGGACCCCAGGAACAGGAGGATTCCCAGAAAGGACCCTCCCTGGCTTTGGGGGAGACCTGTGAGGTGCCCACAAGGAGGTCCCCGGAGCCCCTACTTCAGCTCCCAAAGGGAAGCCCCCAGAATTTTGACAGAGAAGCCCAGGAGGTCCCCAGGGGCAGCAGGTCCCACGGGAAGGCCCTACCATGCTCGTTGACCTGCCCCACGTTCTCCAGCAGCTCTGACACGGCCACTTGCTTTTTCTTCTTGGGGTTGAGTTTCCAGTACATGACGAGGGCCGCCTTGCGCACGGCCCGCTCCAGGTCGGTCTCAGAGGAAAGCTGCTTCACCTCTTGCTCATTCTCGGAGGTGATGCCTGAGAGACGGGGGGTGTCAGAGGCCTCATCCTGCCTACTCGGAAGCTGGCAGGGATGCCCCAGCCCTGGCAGCTCTGCCTGGGGGGCTTGAGAAGGGACTCCCACGGGCGGCTCTGCAGGAACCTTTGTCACCAGGGCAGAAACAAACACCTGACTGAAAGGGCATCTGGCCAAAGACCCTGCCAGGGCCCACTCTCGGGTTGGAGGCTTGGCCCAGCCTTCCAGCAGATGCCACGGTGGGCAGGCGCTGGGCAGTGCCTTCCCAACTTCCTGGCTCACTCCCCTCCCTCCTCCCCATTTCACCCCACCAAGGACCCTCTGGAGTAGGTACTGTGGTCCCCATCTTACAGATGGAGAAACTGAGGCACACAGGGGTGGTCTGGCTTGCCAAGGCAACAGAGTCAAAGAGGTAGAGCCGGTCTTGAACCCTGGTCAGTCCTGCAGTGAGCAGCTGGGGCCAAGATCAGGACATCCCTGAGTCCACAGCCCCAGCCCTGGCCCTCCTAAGGCATCCATGTGTGGCCAGGCTGCACCTCACTGACCCCAAACCCAGCGAGTGCCAGTCTGAGAGGACCTTCACTGGCCTACGGTCCCCAGCTGCTCTGCTCAGACTGGATGGAAAGTCAGTTCAGAAAATTCCACTCTGACCTCAGCTCACTGTCATGTTCTCCAACTAGACCAGGGAAAAGCTGACCCCAACTGACTCTGTTGTTCAATTTGGATTAGAACCCAGAAAGCATCTCCTTGTAGACACCAATACAAGTTAAAGAGCATGAAATGGCTTCGTTTCCTAAACATCCTGTAATACTCCAAAATGCCTAAATGACAAAGCTCCTGGCTAAACAGAAACCATACTCCTCTCTCAGCCACAGGCGTCACCAGCGTTAGGCTCTCCTGGTGCTGTTCTAGCTGTCAGCCCGGCAAGCAGCACGGCACCCTCGGACACCCCGCCAAGCCTCACGACCCACCTCTTCTGTCCGCCAGGCACCGGCGGAGAAGCTTGACGGCCTCGCGCCGGCCCTGCTTGGCGGCGAGGGTCAGCCAGTCCACGGCAGTGCAGTTGTTGACCTCTTCGTCCCCGTCGCCGGCAAGCTGCAGGTAGTGTTTCCCCACCTGCAGGGGGCGCCCATCATGCCGTGCACCGCAGCAGCCCCCTACTCCACATCCTGCCCCGACCTGCTCCCCGCAGACGGCAACCTCGGGCTCCGTCCCTGTCTCCGCCCAGAGCTCCCGGGCCAGCCCCTTCCTCTCGCCCCCTTGGTCACCCAGGCCAAGAGGAAGGGTGGAGGGACCATAGCCCCACTGAGCACCTGCACTAGGCTGGGCCCTGCTGGACCCTCAGGGAGCTTGCTCCTCACAAGACCTGAGGGGGTGTGGGGACTCCCCACCCGGGGATTGATGAGACGGGGGCAGAGGATGGGCAGGAAGCAGGGCCGGAGCTGGAGGAGGTGATGCCAAGATCAGGTGCGGGCTGCACAGGGAAGGTGAACATGTGCCCCGCAGAGGGCAGCGGGAGGAAAGCCAATGGAATGTGGAAACACCAAAACGGGGCCTGGCGCCGGGCAGGTGAGGGCAGGCCAGCTTCCCGCTTCCCACTCGCTTGCACACCGGCACTGGCTTCTCCCAGCCCGCCACGCGGGCTCACAGCCTGAGCCTCCGGGGACATGGGTCCTCACCTCCGTCTGCGCCTTGGCGTCCCCAGCCTTGGCCTTCTCCAGGACTTCCTCAAAGGGGGTTTCTACACCTCCCTTCATGGGTCCTTTAACACAGAAGAACAAGCAGATGGAATGTCACCAAGCTGGTCCTCGTCGCTTGTCCGAGAAGGGAAGGGACAGCAAGAACAGGTCAGGAGCATGAGGAGACACGGAGAGAGCGCACCAGGAAGCCGCCCTCCACCCTCCGATGCTGCAGAGGCAGAGCTGCCGGCTGGGTTCCAGCTCCGAGCTCCGAGCTCCAGGTGGAAGGGGCAGGGCACACGAGGGAGCGCAGGCCGAGCCCCGCTGTCAGCCCCTCAGCTCACGGCAGCCAGAGCAGCTGCGCTCAGGCTTGAACGGGGCTCTAGGAAGATCCGAGGGCTCAAGTTTGAAAGCCCTTGACCTGAAGAGAGAACCTGCACCCAATCCCCAGCACCCCATTAAGCAAACCAAATTCATGTTTTTAGAGATTGTGGTCTACACACCCATGATTTTGGGAGCTCATGATGGCTGTACACACATTTTGATACATCGGTAATAGTGAATCACAATCAAGTTCCCATGTTGCTCTGCAGTGAAAAGGGCCATTTCAGCGTCTCAGAAATCCCCCTGAGGGGACACTCAGGCTCTGGGCCTCTCTTCTCCATCGGAACTTTAGGTTATTCCCACACTCCCTAATTTTATAAAACAGTGCCACAAACAACTCTGTGGATGCACTTTTTCATTTCACGTATCATTTCATTCATTCTCCTGGTATATGTTCTTCAGGTGAATGACTAGCTCCAATCGTCCTCCAGCTAGTGCTCATTTTACTTCGTAACTTTGTAAAAAGTTATCCTAAGTCACAAAAGCGTCACATAGCTTCATCAATTTCACTGCCACCTCTCTGTCAGTGGGCAGCGAACATAATTTTTTTTAGTCACTTTTTACCAGTCCCTTTCTTTGATTTGAGCAACTAATAGCCAGGGGCCTATACCCAACACCACACCTTGCCTCCGCTGTCCGCCACACCCTGCCTTGGCATGTGGCAGATACCTTGCAGTGATGCAGGGGATGCGGCTGGAACGTTGCCAACCACATAACGGGTGCTGATTAGGGATGAACAGACTCTCCTTCTAGCCGTTTCTGGAAACGGAAGGTGGAATTCAGGGAAACAAGAACAGTCCCCGGTAACACTGCCCAATGACCAGCCTTTCCCACCCGTTCACCCAGGCCTTTCCCAGAATCAGCTCCGCCAGGCTCAGAGCACGTCCCTAGGCACAAAGGACCCCGGGAGGCAGCAGAGCAGGGGCCCAAGGTGACACAGCCTTGGAGGTTCAAGGCAGAGAGGTCACATCCAGTTTGGAGTGGGTCCGGGAGGTGGCGGGGAGAGGCTTGGGATGGCTCAAAAGAAAGTATCCTTCATGAGACTCACAGGTCCGGCACCTACAATGTGGCCCTCTTGGTGGATGCTTACAAACAAGACGCCTCTCCCTGCAGAGTTAGAGCTGGGCTCCCTCGCTGAGGTCCCAGGGACCTCACCCAGCAATGGCTGCAGGGCCCAGGACATCCACCCAGTCCCCTGGCCCTGGACCTGGTGCTTCCTGAGTCATCAAGGTCAGTTCTCCCTTCTGGCTGCTGTCACCCCCACTTCAGCCCCTGGAATGCACTTTCTGGCCAAGGGCTCAGACTAAAGAGACTGGCAGGCTCCCAGCGAAGGAGGGTGTGTACAGAGAGAAATCTGAGCCGCGTGCAAATCACCATCAGCATCAAAGAGCCACGTGACCTCCCGAGAGTCATTTTCAGGGCCATCGTCAATATCCACCCAATAGGCCGGTTTATGAAAAGCAAGACACCCTGCACTGAGGGCCTGGTCCAGAGCGGGCATTTCCAGCGTGCCTTCCTTTCCCCTCCACGCGTCCCACCTCTGGGCTGACCCCAGGGCTTCGCTGCTCACCAACGCTGCACTTCCCAGCCCAACACCAGACACCTCTCACAAGTTCACAACTCTCTCCTTGACTAATTGAATTCACAAGCCCAAGGTCTTCTTTATTACATCAGAATATAGAAGACTCAAACATACATCTGTTGGCTAAAAAGATTATTCTACGCATGATTAATTTCTCACAGAAGTTATTCATAGCCTGGCATTTCAAGACGTCTCCCCAATACACAGAATCTCTTTGAAACATGGACCTCACCGCCCTCATTACTCCGCTTTCCAGTTGGCACTGATGCAAATATGTCTACAACCACGCAAATGTTGAGCTCGTGCTGCAGGCCAATCGGGGGGTTCTAGCTTTTTCCATCTCAGGAGGAGCCTTCACACAGGTCAAAGGCAAAGCTCATCAGGCTAACTGCCCAGTGGCAAAAAACAAACAAATAACCACCGCCAGAAGCTGGCTGCATCAGTGTGGACCCCGAGGACCGCGGAACACACGTGTCCTCTGCAGGACCCCCATTCCTGGCCTCTCCCTAACCCTGACCTGACGTCCGCCACTCTGGCTCGTCCACGTGGCAGGGTGGTGGCAGCAAGCCACCTGGCCCACCGGCCAGCTGCGTCTCCCTGACCACATCGCCCGGTCACAGACGGACACAGACCCGAGTCAGGACTGCGGGGCAACCAGCCTCTTCCTCCTGCTGGATCCTGGCTGATGCCAGCCTGGAGCCCTGGAGGGCCGCCCCAGGGGGAGACCCCACCGCGGGTGAGGGCACGGGGGAAGTAGGGCCGGGGGACACTGCCGATCACACCCTCAGCCCCCGGATACTCTTCGCTGTACAGACATACGGAACTAACAGGTCCTCTGCAACCTGGATTTTTGTGGATGTCAGTTTACATCAGGTTTCTGTGTCACTTGCAACCGAGAGGGTCCTGACTCAAGCTCATTTTTTAAAGTCTACCCATCAATCACAAAACAGCAATATTAGAGCTGCGTGGCCCTGGGCAGTCAATCCATGGAGGACCACACACACCCTCATCTTTTATCCTATTTATCTCCCAGGGATCCCACACATTTGAGAGACTTGTATATACCACGCTGAACTAGTAAATGACCGTCATTTTGTCATGAATGGGAGAGGAGCCCCCCAGGATGCTGTCCCCTCTCCCCAGCACACCCATCTTGCTGGAAACCTGGTATGGCATCTGCCACCATGGTTCCACTAGCCTTTATGGAGGTGATCTGTGTCCAGCAAGTCTGACCCATCTCCATCCCCCAACGTCAGGCACAGCTCAGCAAACGCTGAACAGACAGAGGGATGAAGGGACAGGGAAGTGACAAGAGAACAGTCCTCAACTTTCACCTGTCTCCCCAAATCCTAGCAGAGAGCCTACAACACACCACATGCTTGGCCTGGAGATCGAACCAACAAGCTTACCTTCCTGCCCTGAGCAGGTTTGGTGTAGAAACGGACAATGGTGGTGAGCACGTCTTGCTCCCACTCATCAGGACCACACAAGGGCCGCGGGCTGGGGAGCCTCAGGTGTCCCTTCCCTGCAGCCCCAGGGCCTCCACCAGCTCCGATCGCATGCAAAGGTCTCCTGGAGACAGCTGGGAGCAGGAGAGAAGTTGGCTTCCATTTTCACACAACTGCTGTGATCGAGATTTGCCCAAGCACATTGTTTAAATTGTTGAACGCAAGCCAAAGGCTCATAAAAGAAGAGCACGATCCGAAACACGCAGTGAGTGAGTGACGCAGCGCTCCTGTCTCCGGGGCTGCCGTCCTCCCATCCTCACTCACCGGCCCTGGACAAGGCCTTGGCCTCCCAGAGTCCCGGGCCCCTCCTGACGCCCCCCATGTGGGGCTGCAGTGAAGGAAAAGGTGATGTGGAACCAAGGGCATCCCATGTGTCCTCCTCATCACTGTGGGCGCTGGGTCACCCACCAGGGGGTGCCCCATACACGGGGACCTGGGGTCACCTTGCCTATGGGGGGTGATGTCCCATGCACAATGAGCTGGGACTGCCTTGCACAAAGGGTGTCCTGTACACAGCAGGCTGGGGTCACTGTATCCCAGGGGTGTCCTGTACAAGGAGAGGTGGGGTTGCCTTGCAAAAGGGGGTGTCCCATTAGCCTTTGGGAGCCTGACTCTGGTTCTCATGAACACACAGGAAGGATACTGCTTGCACCTCCTCTCTTCCAGGGGCTGGCTTAGCTCTGAGGTGGGGGACCTGGCCAGGAGGCCCGTGTTTCCCACAGACCCTGAGCAAGGGTCACGACCCTCGCCCCTCATTACTCACTCAGTAGACGTTTACTGAGCACCAGATCCAGCCAGTCTGAACGCCAGGAGCCGAGGGCACAAGCTGAATGAAGCAGGACCCCCATGCTCACTGCCCACCCAGGGGCCAGGCGAGGATAACCACGTTCCAACAGTGCCCGCTCAGAGGCTGTGGGGGTGCCAGGAGTCATCAATCCCGATGGGAGAGGCTTCCTGGAGGTGATGCCCAAGGCTTGGAATGCAAAGAGCAGGCGAAAGGTAAGGGCATGATGCCAAGTTTCCAAAGGTCTTGCGTAGCCACCAGACCCAAGGGAGCCTCCGCGGCCTTGCTGGCCGTCCTCAGGACAGGACATCTTGGAGTGAGAGGGTCAGAGCAATGGCAGGGCACCCAGACAGACGAGGGCTTAAATCAGGGTCAGGATGAAATCCTGTGTGTAAAAAACTTCATAAACCAACAGCTGGTACCTTGACTGGACAAGGAGAAACCGAGTTGTTAACTGCTGTGACTTGTCCCCAGGGCAGCAGGACATGGCGCTCTGCGTCTGCTCCTACAGCCTCTCCTGACCCTCCTTGGCGCCCACACCTGCTGTCCAGCTCTCAGTCCCACCGGAAAACTGCCCCCTCACTACCCCGTGGCTCCAGCCAGGGGCCTGGAGCCAGCCCAGCTTCTCTGGGGCCCTCTCCCCTCGACCCCACCTCCCCGCTGGCCTCAGCTCCCCTAGACACCCATGGGTTCTCTCCATGTAACCAAGATTAGCCCGCTCCTCTGGTTTAAACCCTCTAACGCTCCCAAGAATGACCATTCTCCTTATCCTGACCCTCGAGGCCCCACTGGGCTGGCCAACCTCTTGACCCCGAGTCCGACCCCTGCCCAGGGCCATCAGCCTCAGAGCCCTTCTGCCCGGCATGAACCACACCGTGCAGGCTCCTCTTCACTCGCTCACCCGCATCTCCCTCCTGGAGGCGGACCCTGCCTTCCATGCCCAGTGTCCCCTGCAGCCAGTGGGCAGGACCTTGGTCAACAATGGCGTGGACCCTTCTGGGCAGGCTGCACCCCACCCAAGGGTTCCAGCCACCATCCCTGTCCCTGACCCTGAGGCTGTCTAAGCGAGTGCCAGCCTGGCACCCACAGCTGGAAGCCTCGCAGACTCGGCAGTCCTGAGGGCCAGCGATCCCTGTGCCCTACCGAGGTCAGCAGAGAGGGCACCCCCGTGCTCTGTGGCCCCTGCAGAGTGCTTGTCCCCGAGGACACGGCACCTGCTTACTTCTGTCTCTCCCTCGCCTGAGCCTTCACCTCCTGCAGGACCGGCCATCTCTGCTTTGCCCATGACACAGGGTGCTGGGCACACAGTGAGTCCTCCATCTGTGGTCACTGCTGTCGAGAACAGTCGTCACCGTGGATGAGCACGGACTCACAGTCTGTGGTCAAATCCTGACTTCACCCCTCACCAGCTGGAGGTCCGGGGTCATCTACTTAACCTTTACCACTGGGCTTTCTCAGCTGAAGAATGCTGGAGAAGTGACTTAACTAATGGAGACAAGGACCCTAGGTGGTACTGCGCACAGGAAGTGCTATTTAATGTTCCTCTGCTGTTATCTATGGGTATTTGACCGATGCTCACCACACCTTTGCCAGATGGACAGGTGCGTTAGTTCATTAAAACTTACTCCAAAAGCCCCTTCTCCCTCCCCAGGTAGATGCTCTTGGAGCTGTGCAGGGAGGCACCATGGGGCTTGCTGTGTGCACATCAGTGACCAGTGACAGCACAGAGAAAGTGATACGGCATGGCCCAGACTTGAGGGGCCAGGACCCCAAGGCTGCCAACCGGCCCAGCACTCACTCAGCACTCCCTGCCCCCCACCCTTGGGAGCAGAAGCCAAACAGAGACCACATCTGTTTCCTGACTCTTCTTATCTGAAACCTGCAGTCTGGACTTGGTCCGTCCTCCAAGGCTGTTCCGCGTCACCCAGATTGAAACCAAGTGTGTTCCCAGCCCTGGCCCCGCGCCCTGTGGCTGTTGGGTGTTTGTGCCTGGACTGAGATTCCGGATCAGGCCCTGGCCTACCCAGAGGCCTTGGAGACAAAGCAGAGATCTTCGAAGGATGTGAAGATTGGAAGAGCCCAGCGGGGTGCGTTTCTGGGGGTAAATCGGAAACTAGTCCAGTGAGATTGTGCAGGGGAGCTGGGCCTGCTTCATCCAGAGCTCAGAGGTCCCTGCGGCTTCGCTGAGAGAGAGGAGGGCAGCGTGGGACAGGAGACTGGGGGGCTCCTGTGTCCATCACTCAGTACTGGCCACTTGACAAGTCGGTGCTTCTGTTTCCTCTCCTCTAAATGAGGACAAGAACAGAGTCCCTCTCTCGGGCTGCCGTAAGGGGTCATGTGAAGCCCCCAGGCCCGCAGTACACTCGGCAGTACACACCGGGTGCTCACCATCACAGGTCTGGGGCCTCTGCGTGGGGCGGGGCAGGGCTGAGCAGCGGGTAACCGCCTCAGGCAGCTGGCTTCTCAAGGGAAAAACAAAATGACAAGGCTGGGTGAGCTGGAGAAGGTGGGGTGGGGGCAGGGACTTCCTTAACTCCTACAGAGCACCTGGGGGAAAGGAAGCCCCTGTAAACGGGAGAGGGTCAGGTATCCTGTCCCATGGGGGTACACCCCCCACACACCCACATACACAAACGTGGTCTGCAGCACAATGAGCCTCCTGGGAGAGAAGAAATCTTATGAAGCCCCTACCCCCAGACATACACAGCCCCAAGCTGACATTAAGACCGGACACTGACAACTGAGTGGGACCATAAAACTGGGCAGGTGCCGTGCTGTGCAAAGTGGACGCCCCAGGAGGAGGTCTGAGAAGGAAGGAAGGAAGGTACGGGTTAGGGGGTCCAGGAAGCTGGGTGACATTCATGAAGCATGTGGAGCTCTCAGCTCTAGCCACAGGCCCTCTGTCTGCACCACCAGGCAGGCACCTAAGGAAGAGGGGCCATGACTCAGCACCACCTCCCGACCCCGAGGCCGACGCACTCTCGCTCAGAGCACAGGTCCCCAGCACGCGGGTCCCACCTGGCTGGTATGATCATGCCCACTTTATAGATACAGAAACGGGCTTGGCGAGGCCTCCTGTCCCCCTCGAGGGCACACAGCTCAAGGCCACCAGGCAAGCCAGGGGCCCTTCCTGCACAACTTCAGGGCCGAGACACTCATAAACAAACACACATAAATAGGCAGACACACGCTCCGGAGTCCGCACGGGGACAAGCAGGGATCCAGCACCGCGGCCAAACCAGTGAGCACTTTTCAAACTACAGACTTCGACCCAGGAGGTCACAGAATCACATTAACTGCCCACAAGCAGCATTTGTTTTTAAATAAAAGCAAGAGAATGGAGACTCTCACTACTGTTCTGCAAGTTTCTGCTCCCACTGGGTGTGCGTGTGTGTGGGCGTGTGCATCAGGTGACAACAGCCCGTGTACTTCTTGCCGTGCGAGGAGATCGGAAAGTCTAGGAGGTGCTAGTGCCTTAAGAGCTAGGTGGGATTTCAACAGGTGGAGGAGATGACAGCGTGTTTTGGGCAGAGGTTCCCCTCACGGCAAAGGTGGGGTGGGCAAGCAGCAGGCAGATGTGCAGAGCGTGGAATAGTCTCGGCACGCAGGGAGGGGGCGGTGACCCACGGAGAGAAGTCACCGGGCTCTCACCAGTCATGCTGGGGTCCCAGGCAGGCTCTGCTCTGATCACTCCACCTATAATCAGAGCCAAGGTCCCTACTTCCCAGGGCTGGCTGCTGTGAGACTCAGGCAGATGTACTGAGAAGCACTGGGTAGATTATTAGAAAAAGCAGTGCTTTAGAACAAGTGCATAGCTTTTATCAGCTATGTTTTCTCCAAATATCCCAGCCAGAGGCCTGCGCTCCACCCTTTTGAGCCTCCATGACACTCACAGCGAAGCTTCAGCATTTCTACCGACAGACAACAGCCCCTAAGGTGCGAAGGAGCCTCAAACAAGACTCATGTGACAGCTGGTGCCCAGGCCTGCCCCCAGCTCCTCCTGGTGTAGCTCAACTGCAGGCCAGACGCACCAAGCCTCCCTTCTTCTCCACCACCCCTCCCCCTGGGGGTCTGGGGGTCTGGGGCTGTCTCCAACCCAAGCCCGCCCTGGGCGAGGCTGTTTCTTCCCTCTGACCCTCGCCCATGCTGTGTCCTCTCCTCCCAGGCTGACTCTTGCTCAGGCATCATCTCTTCCCAAGAAGCAGGTCCCTACCTACCCAGCCCCAGCCCCAGAGCCACCTCTGTGCACCCCAGGCCCTGTGCTGCCCTGCTGGGGGCAGGTCTGGACTCATTTGTGCCGCCAATGGCCACTCAGGGCCAGCAAAGGGCCATGCTCAGTGAGCAGCAGCTGGACAGAGGAGGGACCAAACGCTGGTGCCCTGGCCCCAGTATCAGCGAGGCAGCCAGCACCACCACCAGCTGTCTTGTCCCCCCCGGGTCCCCACACTGTCTCGTCTCTGCCCCAGGGAGGTGCCCCTGGGATAGAGTGGAAACTTGAGGAGGCCCAGAAGTGGGCTGGGGTGGGGGCAGCGCTTAGCAGCCCCATCTGGGGATGGAGGCTGGGTCTAAAGGGCAGTAAGGGACAGGGCCTGGGCCCAGGAGCATCCAGGCTGGCAGCCGGCCCAGAGGGGCATGACCACATGGGGGCCCCTAGACCAAGCAGAGCTGCCTGACTGAATGGCCCCTGAGGAGTGGACACAGTGGACAGGGGACAACATGGGCTGCCCTGAGCGCTGTGCGGGACCCGAGCCGGGGGAGGGAAAGCCTTCGTCCCACCGCACAGTGCCTGGTGCAGTAATGCCCACCGTGTCCATGAGCTAAAGGGAGCTGGTGCGGTTACTTACAAATATAAGGAGGAAACGCTACGTCTGCTGCAACCCAAGTTCGTGAACTTCAGAGCAAAGTGTGCCGAGAGGTGAGGCCTGAGAGGCCCTGGACCGCGGGGGACACCCCAGAGGAGGAACCTCGTGGGGATGCCTGGACTACATGCCAGGACCCAGCTTCCAGAGCAGCCCCAGGCGAGGACAGTCTGGCTTCCCAGGCCCCCTTACCTGCTCCATCCACTCTTTCTGGGCTCCTGGTATGCGAAGCCCGGGGCACAGCTCCAGCAGCTGTATCTCTCACGTCTGGTCCAGGTCCAACTTGGGGTCCGGGAGCTTGGGGCGCCCCACTCCTCTCCTGCTCCACTGAGGTGGTGGCATTGAGCCGTGAGCGGACCTGGGGCTGAGGCAGCAGTGGAGGCTGGGGGCCGGGGGGGCTTGGAGGAGGGGCGCTGGCGGCCATCCTGCAGGTGAGAAAAGCCGAGGGTCAGACGTACACGAGGCCAGCCAAGCCCCATCTGCTCCAGCCTCGGGTTTTGGGTAAAGAGAACAGGGTGGGGGCTGCCCAGCATTCTGTGTGAGCTCATTCGACCTCACAACAGCCCCCTTGAGGACACCCCCATCTTACAGATGAGGAAATCGAGGGAGGACACTCACTCCAGGCTAGCTGGCTCGGCAGGTCCCACAACAGTCAGGAGCCGGCCCCTCATCAGGGACCGGGACCTCCGGTGTGCTCATCCGAGCAGTGGGAACAGCAGGATGCCGTGAGGGTTCAGTGAGATGGCCCATGGGAGCCTTGGGCATGTGACTGGCTGTGCTGGGTTAAAAAAGGGGTCTTTGCAGATGAAATCAAGGATCTAGAGATGAGATCATCCTGGATCATGGTGGGCCCTAATACAGTCACTGGTGTCCTTATAAGAAGAGGCAGGAAACACACATAGACACAAGAGGAAGCCACCACATGAAGGCGGAGTCAGAGGCTGGAGAGAGGCGGTGGCAAGCCAAGGGACGCCAGGGATGCCCAGCAGCACCCGAAGCCAGGAGAAGCGAGGAGGGACTCTCCCTCAGAGTCCCCAGAAGCAGCCAGCCCTGCCGACATCGTGATCTCAGGCTTTTGCCTCCAGGACCACAAGACAGCAAGTTGCTGTTGTTTCAAGCCACCAAGTGTCTGGAAATTTCTTATAGAAGCCCTAGGAATCAAACACACTGACACAGAATGAGAGTTAAATAAATAGGGTGGGAGGGGAAAGGGGAGAGGGATGGAGGGTGGGAACATGGCCCCTGAAGCCAGGGTTTAAGTCAGACCTGCCCAGCTCCAAAGCCCTCCATGCCAGGCCAGAGCCACAGGACAAAAACCCAGGAACCTGAACACCACCAGACACAAGCACACACTAGACACAGAGTGATGGAGACCATGGGGTTGGTTCCAGGGGACGGCAACAGACTGGAGTGCACAGATTCTGGGACGGGGACAGGGCTCCATTAGTCAATAATGCCACTTAGCAACAGGGCAAAAACCACCAATGACATGATTAAGGGCAACCAGGGGCCACAGACGGTGGGGCCGAAATCTATCAGAGTTCCCCAGCACCAGGATCCCAGACTGGGGTCCTGGGTGGGCTTCAGAGGACACAGACCCTGAAGCAGCTGGGACCACGTGCAGCGCAGGGGATCCAGGCAGGCTTCTCCTCAGATTTCCAAGTGTCCATGACACCCCCACCCTGGCCTCAAGGCCACGTCCATCCTCTTCCCTGAGATGAGGAAGGAAGAATCTGGCTCCCAACCTAACTCGCCATGGCTCCCGTGCCCCTGGCTATGCCCACCAGCTCTGTGGTCCTGAGCAGGCCACGTCCCCCTCCGCATCTTAGTTCCCTCAACGGTAAATGGGGACAATCATCTCACACTCAAAGCGCTGTGAGGGCCACATGAGACCAAAGACCACAAGTGGTCAGGCCCCCAGGCATCCCCAACGCCCACCTCCAAGCACGAGCCTGCGCAGCCTGCCCAAGTGGGTGGCCGACACGCAGTTCTGGAGACGGCTGTCACAGGGAGAGCCAGAGGTGGCCCAGGCCCTACACAACACACCCCAGGGCCATGCAACCACGTCTGCTGCATTCCCGGCTAGACTTGGGTCCCAAAGATGGGATCTGTGTCCGCCAAAGAACCCTGGAGATTTCCATCTGGACATTCCTCCCTGAGAGGGACTGAGCCCTTATTTTAAAAACAGCCTCCTGGCTGTAAACCAAAAGCACATCAAGCCACAAAGATTGGCCTGGAAACCAACACAGCACTCAGTGCTGCTTCCAAACTCCAGGCTTCCGGGAACCAAACAAAGAGACGACTTTTGCAAAACCCCTCATCTGGCTGCATGTGCGGACCCACTGGCCGGCTGTGGGCAGGGAAAGGCAGCCAGCGACTCGGCAGACAGAACCCAGCTGTGCAGGTCACTGGCTGACCCGAGACAAACCACACGGGGCCACGTCCTACCTCACCATCTCCTGAGGTTCCCGCTGCCCCAGAACTAAAGGCCACCCTCTTGGAGTGGCAGAGGGCTCTCAGGCCCCCCGACTTACGCCTGGGCTCCTCTGTTGCTAATGACAATGCAACCAGCACATCTGGAATGTGCTGTTTCAGCACCTCCCACCGATTTTCTCACGTGGATTCTCACGTGGCCTGCGAGGAGGGTACTGCTGTTACTCTGGTGTGATGGATGGAGAAATGGTCTGTCCTTCAACCCACACCCCATGCCACAGACAAGGAAGCTCAGGTCCAGAAAGGTGAGATCCCCGCCCAAGGCCACACAGCTCAGAGTGTCGGAGCTGGAGTTCAAATCCACAGAGCCTCTCACTCGGAAACAGCTCCTTTCTGAAGAAGAGGCCTCTCAAAATGCGCCCACCTGCTTCTGCCACCCAAACCCCACTACACCTTCTCTTCCCCCATCACTGTCTCCTCAAACCTGTTCTTCAGCCTCCACAGGCAGCTGCTGACCTCCACGCCTTAGCTCTTGCAGGGCCCCCTTCTTGGACTGGCCCTCTCCCCTCCCACAGGCCCCATCCTAGATGACATTCAAGTCAAGGGCCCAATTTGCCTCCTTCTGGGAACTTCCAGCAGCCTCTGCCCTGAGTCCTGTCTCCATCACTTGCTCTCAGGTAACCACATAGCACTCAGGGTATGTCTCCTTCAGAACCCTCTCTCTGCCAGAGATGGACCAGAAGGACTCACCCGGGTGGTCCAGCTGCCCCTCTGAGAGGAGCCCTGGGTCAGGAGGGACAGCACTGTCCCTGGCCAGCAGGACACAGTTTTTCCACCTGAAGCAACCGGGGAGTGAACCCCAGTTCTGCCCTCTACTAGTAGCTATTTAACCTCACAGGGGTGAAGGAAGAGAAAGCAAAGTGCAAACTATAAAGCATTAAAAAAAAACAAAAAAGCACCCAAGCCATTTCTCCCAGGGGCTAAATAAAGGCATATTCAAGTTGAGAGACACCTTATAACAGGAATTTCAGGAAAACACAGTTTCTGGCTGGCCTGCTGGTCTAAGTATTATGTATGTCACTCTACAATCAAAATAAAACTGTTTAAAGTAAAATCTGGTTAGTACGGAGAGATGAATAAAGGAGGATTAATTTCAGGTTCCCTGAGAGTCGGCCAAATCCTTTTTGGATCAAAGGCCTTGTTGTTTGAAAACAAATGAAATGATCTGGTGCCGTGGTTGGGTCACGGAGGAGACCACAGATGATCTCTCAGTGGACAGGCCCAAATGGTGTCTGGTCCCTCCTTCTCTGATGAGTCTTTTTTTCTGTGATCCTGGGGGCCCCGAAGGCAGGGGCTGCATCTCATTCACTCCGGATACAGCGGGGACCTAAGGGGCGAGGCCCACTTGAGGCAACCTGGCCTGGGGAAAGCAGCGCTGGCAAGGGAAAAGCCTACCCCATCTCGCTGTGTGACCAGAAGTGGGTCCGTCTTCTGGCCCCAGAATCCAAAATCCTGGCCGCAGAACAACAGCATCAGCCTCGGAGCTCCACCCAGCTCCAAGATTCCTCCGCCGCCACCCTGACATCAACCCCGAGCACCCAGGCCAGAGCAGGGGCTGGGAACCTGTCGTTGTGGAAGATCCAGAAAACCAGAGTGGCCAGCATTCTTTCCACATGAGCACCCAGGCATATTTTTATCCCATCAAAACACAAAATGCCAGCAACACGGAGCTCAGCTGAGGGGCTGCCACCTGCCGAGAGGGGAGAGGGCTGCTGGGACCATGCGTCTCCTGACATGCAGAGAATGACCACATGAGGCCTGCAGCCCAGACTCCCTGACCGTTGTTCAGGCCGGACCCACCCATGCTCTCCAGGGGGGCCTCCCCCACCTCTGAAACAAGCCCCCAGGGAAGCCTTAAGGATGTTCACGCATCCTCTGACCACAGCCTCCACCGCCAGGATCCCAGCCCAGGGAATAACCCGGGATGCCCACGGTTCCACCTCCATCCCACTTGCTGCTCTTTGACATCCACGTGCCACTGCGGACCACCACGCGTCCCTCTTACGGAGCACCTCTCTGGGGTCCATCACAGCGGTACTTTGCAGCACCGTCCAGAGAAGGCAGCTCAAAGCCCCTCCAGGGTGTGCCACACTAGCTGTTAACCACTGCCTTGTATAAGAACATCTAAGACAAGGAAATGTTTGTGTAACGCTGTTAAAAGGATTTAAAGCAGCATGAGATATTACTCTGAGTCTATTTAGGATGAAAGCAAAGTTTATCTGCACAAAAAAGATGGAAGAAAATGCCTCCCAATGGTACTCCTGTCTATCTCTGCGTGGGGGGATTACCGGTAGCTTCCTTTTATTCTTTTTCTAAACGTATTTCCTTAATTTTCCATAATGAATGTGCGAGGTTTTTGGAATTACAACCAAATGTCATTCGAAAACTCATCTGGGGGAGGGTATAGCGCAGCGGTAGAGCACATGCTTAGCATACAGGAGGTCCTGGGTTCCATCCACAGTACCTCCATTTAAAAAGAAACAAATAAGCAGTGTAAAACCCATCTGCAACTGAGCCCAGAGGGAGAGGCTCAGGGGTATCCCGGGTCTGGGAAATCTGCTCCGGCCTGGACAGCCCAGCCCGGCCCTGCCACCTGGCACAGCGCTGCTCCTTAAGACAAGGGCACGAAGCCCTTGGAGACTCCCAGGTACCTATTTTTGCCCCACAGTATTAAGGGCCAAACCAAGGAACATTCCAGCTCTACCCAGTGTGCCAAGTTCACAGGACAAAGAGGGAGTCAATCTGGGAATGCCCCGTGCCTGGCCTGGGCCGGTCAGCAGGCACGGACTGTGGGCCGATCCTGCCCCAGAGAAGATCCCGCAGGACTGGCCTTCGAGCACTCAGCCCAGATGGGAAGGACGACACGTAAGCAGACAACCACAGTGATGCAGCACCTGGGGGCTGCAAGCACAGGAGGGGCCACACTCAGTGGCGGGAAAGGGGCAGGGTGGGGACTCTGGACAAGAGGCCTTGGCTAAGCCTTCAGGACAAACAGGCACGAGCCAGACAAGGGTGAAGGGAGGGAAGAATGGAGGTGCGTGGGCATTTCAGCAGGGACTGCCCAGGGGAAAAGGCAGTGGACAGAGAACGTGCCAGCACTGTGGCCAGGAAGGTGTAGGCGGCTGGGAAGTGACTCTGGGAGGGGACACGGGAAGGAGAAAAGAGGCTGAATGGGCAGCCAGGAACCTGGGGCAGGTCCCGAGGGCCTGAACAAGCGCCAGGCTGAGTGCTGGGGCAGAAGGAAGTGCAGGGCAGTGCTGCAGGGCAGTGGCAGGTAAAGAGCCACCAGGCTGTTTGGGGACAGGCTAGTGAGACCAGGGAGGGGGCTGAGTGGCCTTCCAGGGAAAGTGAGGAGGCCTGGCCCAGGGCAGGCATCGGAGCCCGGCTCCCAAGTCAGGAGACAGAAGCATCACCCATGAATGTGAGCGTGGGGAAGCAGAGTGCAGCCTGGCTTGTGACTGGGGACCATGGTGGTGGTGCCACTCTCTGAGGAAGGGACCTAGGGGAAGAGAGGGGGCCGTATGAGGCACAAAGCTCCCTCTTTTATCATGCTTTCCTCTCGTCACCACTGTCGTGGACCAGGGTTTGGTCTCTGTCCCATAGCACAGGCACTCTGGGGGCCCAGGATTGAGCTGAGACCAACCCCAAGGCCAGTCCAGCCCTGGCTTGGGAGGGACAGGGGAGGCCTGAGTGGGGAGCCCTCCACGTACTCTTCTATCCAGGGAAAGATGAGATGTGGTCTCCCAGCAACCTTTCCTGTGTCCAGTCAAAGGTCCATCTGCTGGGGGAGCAAGCGTACAAAGGAACCTTCCTCCGAATCCCTGGTGAAATGCGTAGGGGCTCCTGTGAGAATCATAGCCCCTTGGAGACAGAGGGGACAGTATGGGCAGTGACAAGTGTGGCCTCTGGGCTTCTGTTGGCATGGCTCCCTCACTGGGGCTGCAGTGAGGGCGGGCAGCCAGCACACTGGCTACCCAGGGCATCGCTCCCTGAGTGATGGATCCCGGCAGAAGGGAAAGCCCTTTACAAATGGGCCAAATGCCAAAGGTCACTGTCCAAGGTGAGGAGAGGCAGGCACTTGTTCTCAGCGCCTGCCCAGAGGCAGAGGTGCCCCACTAGGCTCTGACCAATCATCTGTGTGGTCTTGGGCAGATCACCAAACCCCAGTGAGCCTTAGCTTCCTCATGTTTCACATGGGGCTATAATTCCTACCCCTAAGACTACCTGGAGGCCAAATGTACAAATGTCAGTTTCTTGGAATTTCTTGACATTAATTATAACAAATGGTGTGGGAGAGTCCAGCTCCATCACACTCAAAAGGGCTGGGTCAGATTCACCAGAAAGTTTCCATCTACCCAAACAGAAACTGATATTCCAGAGGGCAGGGTTTACACCAGCCAGGGCCCAGGGGCTGCTCCTGCCTCCCTCCACTACCCCTTACTGAGGAGGAACCCCTGGGGGAGTAACTGCCACACAGATTCTACGTGGGCAGTGGGGGCTTCAGCCTGACCCAGAAGCTGCCCCCTCAGGTGGGAGGGTCCCCACTTGGGGAATGAATCCCCCAGCACCTCCTGCAGCCCCCAACTAGGGGCCCTAGCGCCTTCCAGAGCCGACGGCCACGGGGGAAGGGCCATGACAGGGCAACTACAGACCGATGTAGTGGGACACGGGGAGGAGGCACCCCTTGCCACTCGCCGGGTCCCCAGCACCACGAGCCGTCTGCCTCTGGGGCAGGTTTTCCCGCCGGCAATAGGGTTTCGAAGCGAGGCTCGCGGGCGTGACAGTGCTCGGAGCGCGCTGTGCCCCAAGATGTCCCCGGGTACCGGGACTGGGGCCGAGGGGGCGCGCACCCCTCGAGGAAGACGCCATCGGGGCCCCGGCAGGGGCCGCCGTGAGTGGTGGAGAGAGCGAGACCCCGGCCCTCCAACTTCTGGGGAACTTGCAGGGGACGTTGGTACCAGCCACCCATCCACTCATATGGGGAAACTGAGGCCCGAGGGAGGAGACAACTCCAGGCGCTCCCAGGTCTCTTTCCAGCACTCCGTGCGACCGCCCCTTGCCCTGAAGTACTCACCCGCCCGCGAGTGAGCCGCACGCGGCGCCGCGACGCCCGTGGGCCTCCGGGCTCGCCGCAAAGTTGCTCGGGAGGAGTTAATTGCACCTGGCCCGCAGACGCGCGGCCGGGACCCAGCGGCCAGGACTGGCTACAGTCGGAGCTGGCGAGCGCGGCCCCCAGCGCAGCGAGGGCCGGGGCTGGGGGCGGGGCTACATGACGCTCTCCACTCCCGACGCGGCCCGGAGGACGCGGCACCACCTCGGCCCACTGAGTGGCCAGCAAGCCTGCCAATCATCGGGCTCCCCTGCCAATCACAGAGCGCCTCGCCTTGCGGTCGCCGCTTCGCCCGCTTCGCCTACAGACTCGAGGTCGCCAGGAGGGCGGGTCCGACACGCCCACAACGAAAGTTTCCGAGAGGACTCGAGCCCGGCCCCGCCCCGCCCACCAAGCCACGCCCACAGGGCGTCTGTTCGCTGGGCAAAGCAGCTCACCTCGGTGCGTTAACAAGTGATTGGACCCTTGGGTGAGACAGACCCACCTTTAACCCACTACTCTGGCCCCAGGGTCGTCAACTTCAGATTCAGTATCATCACTATTGCAATATTAACTAACAGGTTGCGCGCGCACTATATACCAGACGCCTTAATTCCAAAGACAGTAGCAGGGATAGAAAAATGTGGCCCATTTTAAATGCGTACCTGTAACGAAGTGCTGCTTTAAATGCATAAAATCAAATGCAATGTGTCACGCTTTCACAAGGTAATTGTGGGATTCGTTTAAGAATATATATTATTAGCCGAGGGAGTGGTACAAGGCTCAGCCGGTTCGGAAACCCTCTTCTTTCCGCCCTGGCCTGAGGTCTGAGAGATGTAGTTTGGAAATGAGGGCAAAGGTCTACACTTGAGCCAGGCCTTGGGACTGTGAAGCCCTGGCTGGTGGCCCCGGACCCCCAGGGCTGTGTCTGCCCTATGTCTGGTCCTCAAAGCCAACCTAAGCTGCCTGTCCTGGGTTATTGCTGGAGAAACTGCAGCTCAGAATGGCTGCCGGAAATATGCTACCCACATGTCGGGAGCAAAGATTCTGCTCCAGGCTCAATTTGGGGGGAGCTTTCACACATCGAGGTTTTTTATTTCCCTCCCAGTGACCCTGTGAGGCAGGTGGCATTGGGCTCATTTTTATTGATGAGACTATTGGGGCACAGACATAAGTGGTCATTTGTCCAAAGTCACACAGAGCGCTTTTTCCCCTTATACTAATCACAGAAAATCTGGAGAATTACACAAAATAGAAAGAAGGGGGAAAAATCACTCAAAGGCTATTACCATTCACATTTTGAGGCCTATGCATATTTAAGAAAGGATTTTCAAAAGTCACCATGACTGCACTGCATGACTATTTCATGAGGGCAAAGTCCTAGAAGCAGGAGTACTGGATCCTGATAGGGTCCATCAGATCTATAGCTATAGTTCACCAAAACAAGGTTCTCCAAGTTGCCTCCAGTTTACCTCTGAGGGGCACACACCAGCTTGGGAAACATTTTATTTTTTACGCTTACCTAATATGGTAAGTGAAAAATGGTCTCTTTACAATTGTAATTTGCATTTCTACAGTAACTAAGGGGCCAGATGTTTCATGTTTCTCAATTTTGAGAAGCATCCTCTCTCTCATTTATCTATTGGAAGCTTAGCAGCTCTTTGAAAAGCTAAGATGTTTCTTTAATTTCTAACCCACCCATCTTTACTGCCCATCCTCTCCTTCATCTCCAAGATCTGGGAACTGATCTGAATGGCTCCTGCAACATACCCTTGGGAACCAAGCAGCCCTCCTTGCCCCTGGGAAGCTGGGAGCAGAGACACCAACCCCCAGCATCTCAGTAAGACTTTTCCAACTCATTCATCACTGTCTACAGGAACAACTCGTCATCCACCCCTGTTGGCTGGTCACTGCCCAAAAGACCATCATGACCTGGTCCTTGGCACCGAAAATCCATCACATAGAGGCCGAAACATTTGAAGGAGCTCAATAAACAGAGGGAAGAGGACAGATTGAACAATTCCTCCCTGGGAGATGAGAGAGAGAAAATGAACCTCGGTCAAAGCATAGAAACATTTAACATATGCCATGGAATGGAAAAAACTTAAGAAGTCATAAGTAGGTAAATTCAGAAAGAAAACAGTTGAGGTGAGGAAAATTAGCAAACTGGAAGATAACAAGGAGTAAGTGCCTTTAAATGTAGAGGAAAATTACATGTAAATCATCAGGAAAAAATGAGACCCTTGCAGGCATTCCAGGAGGTACAGCTTGCAGAGAACAGGCACTCCAAAAGGAGCTGGAGAAAAACAGAAATGAAAGAAGTGCTAGAAGAAAATGTCTCTGGGCTGAAGCTATGCTGTGAAGCCTCCACCTCCAAAATCGTGCAGAGTTCCAGAAAGAATCAGTGACGTCCAGAGGAAGGAGAGACAGGGTGGTGCCAGATTCCTAGGGAACTTTGGAATGATGTCCAGGGACTGTGATTTTCTGATCAACAAGGCTTTCCCCTGCTCTGATGGAATTAATATGTCAGGGCAAAAGAAAGAAATTATCCAACATGGGAAGACACAGAGAGGGCCTCTTTCATCCATGGAAGGTCCCCTCTCATGACACAGTTCAATCTTTTGAAATAGAACAGACATGGAGCACAGAAAATGGTGGTAAACAGTGACCCTTGCAAAATATGTGGTTTAATGTAAATATGCCTGGGATTCTGTATGATAATTGCTAAGCAGGGATTCTTGAAACATAAGCCATTTACTGTGAGGGAAACCTGTGTTAGCCTGAAAGTAAACAATAGAATTGATCTTAGCAAAACCCAGGACTTGAGGGAGCAAGGGGTGGAGTGGAGAAGTACGGGGATCTGATTTGGTGCCAGGAGGTGGGGTGGGGTGATATCATGGCGGGGGACGGCATTGTTACCATTTACATTTCATACATTAACAGGGAAATATTGGTTTAATTGTGACTATCAGGAATCGGAAAGCACCAACTAGTGGGAAAAAAGCAGACTAGAACTTATGAATTCGTGGGTGGAGGTTGGGGTGTTGGGGGAATGAATAAAGAAACGAAATTCAGAAATGGGGGAAAGAGGAAATAATGGCAGTAACAACAAAATTTAATAAAAGATGAAAAAATTTAAAATCTTGGATATTAACTTTCTAAAGAAATGTGAATGGGCTGAATTTCCTATCAAAAGCCCTTAATAAGACTGGGATGAAAAATCAAAATGCAGTGTAAGTGCTATTTACAAGGAATGCACCTAAAAATGCTGACGAATAGAGGCCCAAAGTGGACAATATTGGAAAACTGAAATTAAGAAAATAACAAGAATGACAGATTAATGGTGCATAAAGAATTCAAGGCAGAAAGCATTCACAGGAACCAAGAGGGATATTATGTAATGGTGCAAGGTGCAATCCATAAAGATTCAACAGTCATAAATCTTAATGAACCAGAAAATATAGCAGCTGTGACGGTTACTTTTATGTGTTAACTCAGCAGGGCCAAGATTTGGTCAAATACCAGTCCTAGATGTTGCTGTGAAGATGTTTTTGAGATACAAGTGACATTTATATCAGGAGACTTTGGGTAAAGCAGATGACCTTGTGCAATGTGGGCAGGCCTCACCCAATCAGTTGAAGGCCTTAAGAGTTAACGACCAAAGTCCCCCACTCTCCCCTTCCCTCCCCCTGAGGACGAGGGAACTCTGCCAGCAGACGGCCTTCAGATTTGAGTTGCAAAATCAACTCTTCCCTAGGTCTCCAGTCCGCCCTGCAGATTTTGGATTTGTCAGCCCCCACCATCACATGAGCCAATTCCTTACAATAAATCTCTCTCTAAAGATAGATACAGATACAGATAAAGATCTAGAGATCTCCTATTGGTTCTCTTTCTCTAGAGACCCCTAACACAGCACCAAACTCCTAGAGCAATAACTTACAAATACAGAGAGAACTTACTAAAACACAGCTCTTGTTTTAATTCAATGCCATCTCTCTAGGAGGCCTGTCTTCATGGCGCCACAAAGCTGAAGCCTGTGCTTTGCTGTTGAGTATTGAATGAATGAATGGCTTCATCAGGAGCTCTTTCCTGCCTTCAGGACAATGTCCAGACTCTTTAGTGTGACATCTGAGAATGCCTTCCACCCTTCGGCCCTATTGCCCCACCTGCAGTCCTCTGATTCCTCCCCGTTTTCAGATTCTGCTTTCATGGGCTTGCCCGCTTCCTTCCCTAGTCCTATTTAAAGCCCGCTTCACTTTACCCAGCAAAAATTTATTGACATCCTGTCAGTTCCAGGCATTGGGCTACATGCCAAGCGTACAAAGAAAAGTGAGGGAGGAAGTTGGTGAGTTATATTCTGAAGGACAGCAGAGTTGAGCCCTTTTTCAAACCATTGGTGTATTAGGCAAAAAAAAGTCCCTCTAGGTATCAGGTCCTACTTTCTGGAACCTGTGAATGTCCCTCTATTTGGGAAAAAAGGTCTTTGCAAATGTGACTAAACTACGTGTGATATAATCACACGAGCTGGGGCAATTATCGCGGATTATCCAGGTGGACCCTAACGGCAGTCACAAGCATCCTTGAAGGAGAGGGGCAGAGGCAGACAAAGCAGATGATGTGAAGATGGAGCAGAGAGAAATTTGAGGAGGCTGGCCTCGAAGATCGGAGTGATGCGGCCATAAGCCAAAGAATGCCTGCAGCCACTGATGCTGGAAGAGGCAGGAAATGGATTCTTGATTTTGGTCCAATGATACTGACTTCAGAGTCTGGCTCCAGAACTGTTGTTGTTTTAAGCCACTGAGTTTTTGTGGTGATTTGCTCCTGACAGCAGCCTCGGGAAACTAATATAATCCTAATGTTGTATTGGGACTGTAGTCTTGTTGTGACCTAGTGTGCACTGGTGTCCTGAAGATGAGGCTTGGGAGGCATGGAAATTCCAACCCTTGCAAGGGCAGCCTCTGGATAAATATAACCCAAGTCCTGAACCAACCCGTTGGCATTCAAACCAGTTCTCATCAAAATCAAAGAATGAAGGGGCCAAATCACCCTCTTGTGGGTCCCAGGAGGATAAACAAGCATTACTGAGAGTCGGGGAAGTGTCCTTTGAACGACCTAGGTCCTGAGCCTCTGGCCCTCTGGGCACATAG